GCGTTCGGCCAGCCCATTCTGCCCTTTGCAGTATGGCGGCGATGTGTCGAACTCAACTCCCTGGGATTCGAGATGTGTTCCAATTGGCAGATATTCTCTCCCGTTATCGGTGAGGAATCTTCTGATCTGGGCGCCGAACTGTCGGTGCACCCAGGCCTCAAAATGTCGGAACTTCTGGAGCGCTTCATGCTTCCATCTCATGGCATAGGCCCACGAGCCACGAGAATAATCGTCAGTAAAGGTGATCACGTACCTGGAGCCATCTTTGGCAATCGGCATCTCCATGATGTCCGAATGGATCAATTCAAATATTCTCGTTGAATGCAGACGTGGCCGTCTTGCGCGGGAGTTCCTCTTCTGATGCTGCTTACCCGACATGCACGCCGGGCACTGCGGCGTTGCCAGCAGCTGCGCCTGTGTCAGCGGTCGGTACGGAGTGCCGGTCTGCCGGAGGACCACCCTCAAGTCTCCCCGGTTCAGATGTCCCATCCGAGCGTGCCACAACGCTTCGGAGGCCTGGTCCACTCCTTTGCACGCACCTTCTTCGAGTATCACAGCTTCACCGCCGAGTTCAGAGGTTGACGCTGCGCATTCTGCGCCACTTGACTCCTGAGGCTCGTCGACGTCCATGGCCACCGCCTGCGGTTCCAGGGAATCTGCATGGTCATGGGTCGCCGGCGCCCTCGCCAGTTGGACTCGCTCTCGAGATCTCTTGCTCACATGGCACCGCAGGATCAACAGATCCTCCTCCGCATGGTAGGCGGTCCCCACGGTTCGTCCTCGGCGTTGCACAAAGACGTTCTGCGGGTGCGCCACCACCGAGTAGCGGTCTCGCAACAGCTTCGGCACGCTGATCAGGTTCATCCCGACGCGCGGCGCGAAGTACACGTTCTTCAACACCAGGGGTGGGTTGAACTTCCCCCGGAGCGTGAGCTTCACCGTACCAATCCCTTCGGCTTCCACTGGATCGCCCGCCGTGTCCAACATCTCGCGGTGGGGCCGCAGACTGCTGAAGCAGCTCCGGTCCCAGCAGATGTGGCTGGTGGCGGCCGAGTCCAGGATCCATCGGGGTTGCGGTGCGTGGGTATAAAGGGTCGTCACCCTCGCCCTCACGATATTGATCCTCGGTCTCTTGGAAGTCGGCGGGCCCTGCCGATCTTCCATCTGGCTTGATGGTATCATTTGCAAATTATTTCTTGGTGAGCCGGAAACACTCCGTTCAGCCTTCAGGGCATGGTCCCTGGACGGCTGAGCTTCTCGCTGTTTCTTCCAGCACTGTGCGACCACATGGCCGCGCTTCTTGCAATAGTTGCATTTCTTGGCAGTCTGCTGCACCGTATTGACGGACGGGCCAGACGTTGCCTGCAAGGGTGTTGGAGCTTCTTTTCTCCGAACCGTCTGCTCAGCATTAGACAGACGGTTTCCGATCGTGGTCGGATTCACCGGATCCTTGTCATTCTGAATGGCATCCACAACTAGAATATATTCCGGTCCGATCTGCGTCAGTAAGATCGCAATGTGCGTTCGATCGCCAATGGATCCGGGCACGATAGCATTCAATCGATGTACGAGCAACCGTACCCGATCGACAAATTCGCGGGCACTGCCGCAGCGCTCGCCAGTGGTTTCACGAAGCTGCGCAAACAACTCGCAGAACGTGGCGAGTTCCATTCGCCGGTACCGTTCTTCAAGTTCATTCCAGAGGTCGTGGGACGTCTCTAGTCCTGCGACATGAATGCTAATGTGGGGGGACAGATACCGGAAAATGGTGTGGTAGGCCTCAGCTTCGCGGCGCGACCATTCACGGTGGCGCTCGAATGCCTGGACCTCCACTTCGAGGCGCGCTTCAATGGTGCGCTGCCTCACCGCCCCAACCAGGTGCGGCTCCACTAAGGGGTGGATATCCGCCGAAATGGGTTTGGCGTACTTGAATAAGCAGTCAGGACGCTGGAGGTCGCCCGACACGACATCCCAGACCTGCCTCGCTTTGAGGTAGGACGTCATGAGACGTTTCCAGGTCGCGAAGTTGTCGCTTCCTGTCAAAGGCTCGATGGCCGTGACGGCTCGGTCGGGCGAGTCGTGGACCAGAGCAGACATGGTGATGATTTGTAAAAGCGGGGTAGATATTCAATCAAGCAGGTAAAGATGATTCTCAGATGAGCAGAGACGGCACCCGAGAGTTGCTCCCGGGCTCATAACCTGTTGTAGTTCAAAGGAAGATTGAATTGTACTGAACTAGAGGGAATAACTGAGGCTATATATACACAAAGAGTAGATCAAGTTGATTGGAAATCAACTTGTTTCTTCGTATAGACACCTCGGGATTAATTCCGATGGTACGGCTTGGTTCCTGATCTGCACCAGCCTCATATCACAACAATTTGAATATGAATGGATGTCATGGGAACAAAGGGCTAAGGAATATTCCAAGCAACACGATAAGTACAGGTCATTCGAGTCCCTGCGAGGAAAGCGCAATCAGCTTCGGAAAGGGATTCGAAGACGGCGACCGATCGCAGACAAATCGACTTCACGGTCCCGTACCAGGGCTCGGTACCAACGTCAGATGCTTCCGGAGGGCTTCCCTCCTCGCTCTCCGACCTTCAGGCTAAAATCTGCGGATCCTTGGTCTCATCAGCTAATGCAGCAAGTGCGTCGATATAGATTACGCGACATCAGGCTTCTGCACCATCCTCGCAAAATCAAGAAGACTCCCAGCCCGCAATCTCACCAAACAATGCCACACCGGGTAGGTCAAGATAAAACCAGAATATACCTCACATTGCTAATCATTGACTGCCTTCTCAGTCTATATATCTCCCAAGCCTGTATTCCGTCGACATGAACTACTTACCGTATTGCTAAATGTGCATGCCCGAAAATGGCCCGCACGTTTTAGTTTTGGGCAAACGATGTCAATATCCCCCCAGACCTCCTGGACCTCTTTACATAGACCAAACACTTCCTTTAAAAAGCTCTGAAGGGATCGACTGAAGCTCCCAAAATCTTTGTTCTGGGGTACATAGTGATCGCCGAAGAATTCATAGGGCCATGGGTTTGAGCAATGTCGTGCGAGGTTCCGTGTCTGTGCAGTAGAAATCGTTGCATCCAACTCGCCGACGGCGTGGAACATTGGAGTTACAATCTAAGGGAGATAGAAAGCTTAGTAGCATTCATTCTCTAATTTGAAGCCGCTCAGACATATTGCTGAACACTATTTATTCAAATCAGGCGTATCCCCAACACGACGGAATAGGTCGATTGTATATGTAAGCAGCGATCCTCCTGAGACTCAATGCAGTTTCTAGTTCCAGTAAGTGGGTCACGACTCTTAGAACAAATGGTGTCGTTCTTTAGAATGATGCAAGGAGCTATTTCTCACATTAGGAAAGGGTACCTATATCCACATACGTGAGCTACTGTACTATCTTCATGGGCGGTGAAAGAAATTGCGACGCATGTCCAATCCATTTTGGCACTCTCGTGAACGTTGAAGGTACAAGTCATGTTCTAAGCGAGGATTTAGAACAGTAGTGGTTAGAACGTAAGCCGTGCGCGATTACTTGAATTCAGAATTGAACGCTGGATCTAATTATTGTTAAGACGAAATGGCGGTTTCCCCTTGAGGATGGGCAAACGAAAATGAGTGATGTATAAAAGCGGATGAGTAGTGGCCAATAACAAATTAACCCTGCATACGTACTTGCTCTTTTATCAGTCAAGGCATTGAAGCCACTATTGGAACAACCAAGAAAGGGTAGGCATAGAAGTCTGCAGTTTATGACGGGCTCCCCCACAGCCCACTGTAGTCTAGCAGGTCGTCATATTGTACAGACCTGGACACTGAAGGATTACCTACGAATCGTGCACAAATGCTTAGTCCCCTCACCACTCCTTGTCACTGGGCATGGAAGCGCTGAGCTTAACAATTTATTCCACTTCTCATTGTCAACCAGAGGCACAGTTGACACCCATTCTGAAACAGTTATTGACTGCTATTCTCCCCCCCGGTTATAACAGCGTATCTGCTCAAGAATGGAGATGGCCGGACCCATTGTCATCGTCCACATGTACTGAGGATATCTTCCTCTCCTTGCCAGCTTCCCGACTTCCGAAAATGCTGGACTGGGCTGACATCCGGGTCTGCGTTTTGGATCAAGAAACCGATGAAATGGTAGCAATATATCCATTTTTCCTCCCGCGGGTGGAATCAATGCTAGGAAGCTTGTCCAAAGCTTGTAAGCTAGTGCAAGAAGTTGCCGCGAGCCATGACATAAAGGAATTTGAATGTCAATTATCCATTTGGCTTTGTAACCAAGGAGAGTCCAATGCTGTGACTCTAAAGACCGCTTTCAGCTCATATTTCCGCCCAAGTGCACCAGAATCTGCTTGATCCATCGATTTTCTGTAGTAGCTAATGAGAACTTGCTCAGAGTGCAGTTCTACCTCATCAGACGACGGCAGCTTTGCAAGTGCATGTGCATGCCGGGGTAGGCGTGAGAGTTGGAGATTGATCTGCAAGAGGCGTCTCAGTAGCCGAGTTACTGGCTGAAGTTGAAGCCAAAGATTGACTGTTTGTAGGTGTTGGTATCACCAGCTAGGTACTGTGTACACAGTTAAGTGGACAGTGGTTATGCTTCCAAAGCAAAGGTCAATTTGATTCATGTAAAAAATAGATAGATAGATAGATAGATAGATGTTCCTTCTAGGTCAAGGCCCAATACCCCTGAATCCATACGGCGGGAGCCGTTGCTTAGCAAGATTACGTACAACCCGTCTTCGCTTATTCTGACGGGAGTATATGTCCCGACACTGGCAACTTTTCTTTGTGCAAAGGCCAGTGTCCCCAATTAGGAAATGAACGAACGAACAAAACGAACGAGCAAAAAACGAACGAGCAAAAAACGAACGAGCAAAAACGAACGAGCAAAAACGAACGAGCAAAAACGAACTTCGATCATACTGTACCTCCTTGCATCTGTAGGTCTCACGATACCCTCCTATTGTCTCTCCACCCATCCCTCAACTCGCACTCGTAAGGTGTTTGTGCTGATGAACTTCTCCAGGGCCTTGTTAGGGTCTGCTTTGGTCATTGCATCCGCTGGATTGTCGTTCCCGTTAATCCACCTTATTTCCATTATCTCTCTCCGCTCGTATGACTGGCGAAGTGCCATGATGTCAATCATGAGGCGTTTCTCCTTCGTGGTCCCAAGCTTGACGAGGCATTCATAAAGGGAGTATGAATCCGTGCATACGATGGTAGGGATCTTCCCACAACCAAGTTGGTCCGTGATCATCTTGATTGTTGTGCCGATTGCAATTGCCATGTCGACACCTCCTACCATCCCATAGATCTCTGAAGCCAGAACGCTCCTAGTAACGCGTTTGCTCTTGGTTGAGCTCCAGTGGATCAGGTTTCCGGTGATCTCGAATTCCTCATTCTGTGCGGACTCGTTTGCAAGGATGATCTCATATCCAATCTGGGAGCTGAAATCTTTGTTGTTCGCGAAGGATCCATCGACGAATACGAAGAGCTTTGCAGTTGACAGATCTATGGCGATATATTTGATGCCCCTGTCTTGGTTCTTCATCTGCCACTTGATGCGTTTGTTCAACGCGTTGACGTCGGCTTCCGTAGGGTCCTGGTGTTGGGCGGCAACGGATAGGTCGAATGCAGCCTCCGGCTGGCAGATCGTTGCAATGTAGGCTCCGCGAGCACGCTGTTCCATATACACGTGCTTAAAGCCCTTGGAATTGTGGTCGATGAGCTTTAGCCTCTTACCCTGCTCCTTTTGGCGTAACTCAACGGTAACGTCTCCTTCCTTCTGCGTCAGAACACAGCCATTGAATATCAGCGGGTTCTCTGGAGATAGAGTATCCTTGGGTTTGGCGCTAAACTTTGCCTCAATTCCTTCTCTTCGAGCGTGGCAAACTCGTCGGTCCCCAAAATCAGTGTATCATCGGTTTGCGTTCCAACAACACCGAAAGCTCCCTTTCCAGTGGAGACCAATAAGCATGGGTCGTAAGTCGATGTGACCATCTCGAGCCTTTCCCGGTGGTGCTTGTGGTACGTTGCCCACCAATGGGTCCCAGCTTCAGGGATCCCGTATAACGGTTTCCGCACTACCATAATTGTGCCTGCTGGGAATTTGCTCTTAATCTCCTTGGGTAGATACGCCAGGATCAGTCGGTTCAATGAGGTTGTTGACTGGACATATGCCTGTGTAATGTCCCGGATCGACAGACTGATGTTCTTTTCGCTCAGTGATGGGGCCAGTGCAACGATGATACGTTGGCTGGCTCGCTGAATCGTCGGAGATTGGGTGAGAATCATCCCTTTTCCTTCGTCATTGTAGGCCTGGATAACAAGCCGTGACTTTTCGAAAGGCGTACCCGTAGCCTTACCCTTGATCTCGTTGACTAGGCGCGAGTTGAAGATGCGTACACCATCGTGCTTCATTGGATCGTATTGCACGAAGTCGAATACCCCTCTGGCTATCAGCCCTTCAATCTCCTTGTTCTGGGACTGCTCGAATGGCGATCCAGGGGTCGTGATAACACCTTCGTTCCTCAACCTGATGGACAGTTCCATGTCGGCTCGTTCTTTACTTGTCATAAGCGCCGTTGAAACGTCTTGTCCTTCCCAGATAGCGTTGATGAATTGATCCTCGAGATCTTGATAATGAGCAGGATTTCGTCGGGTGCTCCGTCGCACGGTTGCCTGCGGCTTCGGTTTATTCTTCGATCCTGGTGGTCGTCCTCGACCTCGTCGTTGGATTTCGACTGGTTTATCGGGCTCGTCAACTTGTTTCGAATCAGCAGTCTTATCCACTTGGTCGTCCTCTGCCCTAATACGACGTTGTCCTCCCTCTCCCTCTAGGAGCTCTTCTCTGTAGTAGGGCTTGACAACAGTTGATCGGAATTTCGTAGGACCATGTGGCATATCCACGGTGCAAGTCTCTCCATCCATTGCTAAGAGCTTATATGGGCCCTTCCATCCGCCTTTCTCGCGCCAGACTCGAACATCTGATTGCAATGGTAGGTCCAACGTGGTGGTAATGTTCGGACCGTTACGCATTGCAAGGGCGTCGTTCACCTGGCGTTCCGCATGCAGGCGACGGATCTCTTTGGTCGCAGCACGGATGGCCTCAGCTCTCTTGACTACCGAAGGTGATGGTGGATCCATTTCGGTCATTCTTGGGTATGCCCCGAAGACAAGCAGCGTTGGGACAATTCCATCTGGTCCGGCTGAGTCGTTGACAGCTTTCACAGCCATCTGCAGGATCATCTCCCTGTCAATACTCTCATCCTTAAGCTCTTCTCTAAGAATTTCGTAGGCACGGCGAAGTGGTGCATGGTATCGTTCCACTTTCCCCACGCTATTATGGGCTTCCACGGGGGCTTCCTTGATCTTGATTGACATTGATGATGCAAGCTGCTTGAACTCGGTAGATGTGAAATTCTTCCCCGCATCGTGCACAACGTAGTCCGGGGGTCCCTGGTAGGTATCGATCCAGCATGCCCGAAGTGTGTCCCAAGCATTGCGTGCAGACATGTCTCTCAGGAATCTCGCAGCACTAAACGATGTGGCTGCATCGACGACTTGCAAAACGGGCTTTCCTTCGATGTATAGGATATCGACGATAACCGAGTAGTTGAACTCATAGTCATCTTTCAAAGTGAATTTGAATCGTCCTGGGGATTTACCTTTCATCTGGCAATTATGGCAGAATTTCGTGAGATAGTCGATGCATTGCGAATCTACCTCATGCCCGGCGCGTTGAAGGATTCGGGTTAGTCTTCGCACTGATGGGTGTCCGAAACGTCGGTGAAGTTGCCGTAGCTCCGCCTCGGTAAGGTGGCTCCATGCTGCTATCTCCTCCAGATTATGCAGCAACATCCATGGATGTCCCCACTTGCGTACGATAGGTACTCTCTTGTCTCCTCGCTCAAGCACGTTCTTCTTGTTTCGGAGCTCCACTCCCATAGCATCCATGTCCTTGAGGCAGAAGAGAAACGGTGTGTTCGTAGGGAGGACATGAAACGTAATAGTTCCAATCGGGGTGCCGACATCGACAGTCCCTAACGAGGGTCTTGGATCCCCGTCGCCGAATTTAATCTTCTGTTCCCCAGCCCGGGACGTATCAAGTCTGACTTTAGGGTCAAGCTTACACAATGCCCTGAATTGAGGCTCACCAGCGGATGAAACCCCAGAGGCTCCAGTATCTGGCATGATGCCCTGGAATGTGTCAGATGAATACCGATTGTCGAGTGTGAACACTTCTGTGGCCTGTCCGTTGGTTTGTCGCTGCTGAAAAATGTCGTCCTTAGTGAAGAAGTGGTATGTTGACTGGTCGTTCAAGATAGATATCATCCTTATCCCGTCGACTTCGCCAAGTTCCGTCAAGAATCCCTCGTGCTCACTATTCTCAATAGTCATGGCTGCGAGTATCTGGCTTTGGTCATGCCTCTCGCCGTCGCCTAGCCCCTCTGTCTCCTCTACACCCTCAAAGTCGCTAATAAACATTTGGAAGTCCTGTGGGGTAGCTGTCCGGCCTGTCGTAAAGAAGTGTTGCTCGCGGAAGTTATCAAGCGATCGTTTCCGTTCCTCCCCAGTATGATACTTCGACCAGCATCCTGGCTTTCCACAGACATAGCATCTCCCCTGGCGGGACCCTTGGTTTCCTCGTCGACTTCCGCGGTAGTCTCCTCGTGGTCCTGAACCACGGAAAGAAGTAAGTTCGCGGTTGTTGCCGTACCCATAGCTTCCTCTGCGCTGGTTATAGCCACCGCGGCTATATCCACGACCTCTTCCTCCGTATGTGCGGTCAGTCCAATGCTGGTCGTACACGTCGTACTCCTCGCAAGCTTGAAATTGCCCCGCATGTGGTGGAAAAATCGCATTGGCAACGGCGGATCGTAGTTCTGCTTGTACCCCCTCTAGGGTGCTCGCCGGCCTGTATAAGGAGAACTTGCATTCCTCGACACCTCTGCAAGCATTGATGGTTTGTTCCCGTAGTGTCGTCTCCGACCGGTATTCTGGTGGTAACCCTGGCTGGATCTTCTCCAGTGTATCGAAGAGCATTTCGAGGCAATCTGAGCGTGACTTCTCAGGATTTTGAGCAATAATCCTCGGGAGGGTAGTCTCTCTCCACTCAGTGATAGATCTCTGACGGTTTTCCTCTGTGTCGAAGTGTGCCCTCATCATCTCTACCATTGTTGGAAAATCCCTTGCCTTTCCTTTGATCCGTGTGAAGTAAAATTTCTCCGCTCTGCCCTTAAGCATAAGGGAGAATGCGATGTGGAACTGATGCTCCTGTAGGCCGATCTTTTCACAGGCGTCGTAGAACTTGACTAACTTTGTGTTGAAGTCATCATACAGTCCTCCGCCATACTTATCGTCCGTGTTGCTGTACTGCCTCGTTACTGCGTCAATCATTCTCGGTAACAGCATGTCCGAGGAACTTTGTTGGAATCTACCGTAATCGGATTGTTGCTGTATGTGATTGTCCATATAGGCTGTATCGGGCGTGACGGCTCTAGCTTCTTCCCATGTCTGGTCGCTTCGTTCGATGTGTGGTTTCTCAACATTCGTCCGTGGGGTTTGAGGATTTGGAGGGTTCACCGGAGTAGCTCGTGCTGCTGGGGCATTTAGACGGATAGTCGGTGATTGGCCGCGTGCAGGGTTCCATCTGGAGTTGAAGTTGTCTGGGTACTCCTTCAGATGGGCCTCGATGTCTTCTTTGGTCCATTCGTGCTGATTGGTCTCTTGAAGGCAGTCGTATAGACCCTTCGCGAAGGATATCCCTATACCGACTTTGATCCATACCCCGTGAGTGGTCAGGTGAAGTCGAAGCATTTTCAATGCGGTTTTGCTTGCCACCTTGAATGTGTCCAGAGTCCATCCATCGAATTCCTCGCGAAAGTCGTTCCATAGGGCACGGTCGGTAATGCACATCATTTTCCATGCCCGCAATACACAAGTTATATGGCCGTTTAGTATTCCTTCCGTCTGGTTCTTCTCATCGAGTGTATCGACGGATTTCCCCCATGTCTTCTCCTCGATAGGGTACGGGAGGTTTTCCGGGACCGGCAGCATGATAGTCGTTCCGGTAAAGACGTGGATAAAGTAGATCGAAGGAATGAGTGTGTTAGGTTGCGTGTCGTGACGGTACTGCAACTGTTTCCCGTTAACGCCTTGTTCGCGTGGTGGACGCAGATCTTCGTTGCGGTTTCAACTGTAGATCTTTTGGAAATCCTCCGTGTCTGAAAGGTACTGCAACCGTTTCCCAATCAGATACCTTGATATCCTTTAGCACACCTTCCGCAATGAGGGTACTGCAACCGTTTCCCCGTTCCCTTGCGGTCAATGCCTCTTCCAGTTCGTGTAAACCGAGCTGTTCTGTGGTTGTAATCAACCACTGATCAGTGTTGGTATCACCAGCTAGGTACTGTGTACACAGTTAAGTGGACAGTGTTTATGCTTCCAAAGCAAAGGTCAATTTGATTCATGTAAAAAATAGATAGATAGATAGATAGATAGATGTTCCTTCTAGGTCAAGGCCCAATACCCCTGAATCCATACGGCGGGAGCCGTTGCTTAGCAAGATTACGTACAACCTGTCTTTGCTTATTCTGACTGGAGTATATGTCCCGACAGTAGGCGTCGAGGTGAATATCGGAGTTGGTGATTGATCTGCAAGGGGCGTCTCAGTAGCCGAGTTACTGGCTGAAGTTGAAGCCAAAGATTGACTGTTTGTAGGCGTCGAGGTGAATATCGGAGTAGGGGATAGATCAGCACGGGCTGTTTCAGAAGCGGACATGTCGATTGTAGTTGAGAACGAGGTCTGACTGCCCGTAAAGATCGGCGTGGTCGTCTGAGAGGAAACTGTTTTACCGATGCTACATCCACTGGGCACCTTAAGACCGTTTTCTAGCGTACAACTAGAAGTATCTCCCTCTCGGTTGTGGAAAGCCACGGTGCCGTTTTTGTTCACTGTCACCCAGGCGACCTGCTCTCCATTTTCAGTGCCACATATATCAATTTTCACCGACTTATCGTCGGAACCGGCACCAGTGAAACCTAAGGGTGTTAACAACAGCGCGTTTGGTTCAGATTGTGTACTCACTCGAACAATCTTTGCCTTTCAGCTTAGCAAAGGTTGCTGAGTAGCCGGTACAGCCGTGGTTATTCTGAGACCACACTCTACAGTTGTTCTCGCCACCAGTGTCCTGAATGATAGCCAAATAACTGCCTGTCACAACATTTCCGATGAAGAAAAGGTAATTGAAGGAACGCATCTTGGACTTTGCGCGGCTTGAAGTCAAGCAAGTGTGGTGATGGTGACGACTGGCTGGGGCCGATAATTATTTATGTCCGGGACTGAATCCTTCAAACCTACATTCTATTATTCTTACTGACTCTTTTAGACGGGGGGGAAAAAAGATGGGGGGGGAATGGAAGCAATTACTTGTGGGAGTGTTCTTGTGGCATAAGTCTCAGCAGTACAGCCGACAGGCCGATTGATTGGAAGCGGCCAGTCCGCTCACATGCCGGCCGGTGGTGGCACTCCAAAATTGCGTGGATATTCCTTGAACAGCTGGGATAATATGAGGGTGCCTGGTATTGGTAGGTCAGCCACTAAGAAGCCCATCCACACCTTTTTTGTGTTTTCTGCCCTCAATAATCAATTAGGCCTATGCAAATGTTCTTCCGCCGCGTCCCCTTATATAGTCCACAGAGCATTTTCTATTCTCCAATTCCAAACTAGGCGCCTTTTCCTGAATACACGTCATTAGTGACCCAAGCCGCGTTTTATCTTCCGTTTGTCCTGCCTGCATCTGCTGTGATAGCTTAATCACAACTTCACAATGGCTGTATGTTCTCACGAAATCTAGACCGGCTTCCTTAGCTTCTGACGAACTATGCCGGGGAAATGGGTACTCCGGAGGAGGGATGTTCTCTTCAATAAATAGCGGAGGATCTCTGTGAGAGTAGGTACTGGACCTTTGACTATGCAAAATCCGAGCAATACTAACCAAGGAAGCTCATCGCTTCATCTGAGGAAAAAGGCGAGTGCTGGAGTCATTGAAACGAACTCGTTCCGGCACCTATAATAAGCGATCCATAACAAGAGACACCTTCTAACTTTCGGCAAATATACAAATATACACTCGCCTCTCTTTTAGAGATTCCAAATAGTAAGATCAATCGCCTCTATTCTGAGGAGGCGAGGCGGAAGAGGGGGCGAGGCGGAAGACGGGGATATGCGGAAGAGAAGGATATGCGGAAGAAGGAGCTATGCGGAAGAGGGGCCAAGCGGAAGAAGGAGCTATGCGGAAGAGAAGGCCATGTGGAATAGGGGGCCATGCGGCAATGTGGAGCCCTTTTCAGTCCCCAGCCTTATAAAAGCTTCCTCCCACCATGTCTCGTCTCTTTTTGTTCCCAGTGCCCCTAAGGGTTTTTTTTCTTCGGCGTCAACCGCTAATTGCATCCATTCATCATGCCCAAAAACAAACGGGCATCATGCGACCGTTGTCGTGAACAGAAGAGGCAGTGTGACCTTTCCTCTCGTATGACAAGGCGAGAAGAATGCTGCTCAAGGTGTGAAGAGCAGGGAAGTGAATGCCGTTTTGAAAGGTCGGAGGCTATCCTCCCACGCAAACGCCAGCGTTTGAAGCTAGAAACACAGTGCATGGGCTCCAGCTCGCATCAAGCAAGAGATCCCTCTGTTGTCACTTCGCGGAGCTCATCGCGCCGTCTGGATGTGGACCACGAGGCCACGAGCGCAGATCACCGCGAGAGTATTGGTCCTCCCATCGAGCATCAGGATGCTCCATTTTTATCGCCAGAAATCCCACTCACAACGGTGTTGTTGGATGAAGCATTCGAATACAGTCCGCAGCGTTCGAGAAGCCCTCTTGCACTTAGCTCTCAAGGGGCTTCATTCCTCCATCGTGTCTTTTCTGGCAAGTCTGAGCCACATCCGTCGGAGCATATACCACCCGTTAGCATCGACACGGAAAGCCCAATGCTTGAGCCGCCAATCTCTGAAAAAAAGTCTCAGACGTTGACTTTGATCGCCTTCCCCTTGTTCATAAAGAACGCACTGCCGTTACAGTGCCGAATGTGCGAGCCGACCAAATCCCGAAACTTTTGGCCTCTTTCGACCAAGTCTTTCCGGATTTCCTCGTGCCTTGGATGGTAGCGGAGAGGGAAGGCCTCAAGGCTCTCGATCGGCCTTGATCCCCGGAACTTTGCCACACGCAGAAATATTCCGGCTCGCCAAACTTGACTCCGTCATAATCGATGAATCAGCACTCGAGATTCCACCACGTCTCGTCATTTTGTGTCATCTCTCCCCCCGCGTCGAATCTGACACATCGTGGCTCTTTTGTGCCAATGCATGTGGTATAAGCATGGCAACCAGGCTTGAAAAGCGCCCAAAGAAGGTCATAAGTAATATGACCGTGCCGCAACATTGATTCGAGACGCTGCGAGATAGAAGCATATGCTTGCTTGAGGTGGTCGATGAGCAGGCGGAGATGCTCCGCATGTTGCCGAGTCATGGTCCGAGCTGTTGTCCACGTTCTCCACACATCTGTCGAGCTCTGGGAGGAAATGGAAAAGGACGTTTTGCTCGATCTAAATCCACGTCAGCGTTCTCTTCGAGATGCTACTCGCTCTCAATTACCGATGGCTTGTCCTCCATCAAGCTAATAGCTTTGATGTGGTGCAGTACCACACGCAGGATGTCGCGTAGGCCTTCCAATTTGATGTCTATGTAGTGCGTCACCTCCTCTGAATTCCGTTCTAACCATACTATTAGTATTGTTTCGGTCTGTCACGCGAAGGTCTGATGTACCGACACGTTCACGGACAACGAATGCATATTCAGCATAGTCGTCCAAGCCACTGCTGGTCTCCACCGGCTCTGCTATCTTGTATTTGCATGCTTCTTTGTCCCAACTATACCCTTGTCAGCCAGTTTCTAAAAAGGAATGGGAAGGGGAGTAGGTGGCTCGTACGTTTCCAGAACAGTCTTGAAATGGGGTGTCGAGGCCCACTTTTCGAACGATTTGAAATCATCCGGGGTAGTACAGATCGGACTGTCGAGATCAGTTTCATTTGCGACCCGGACACCCTCCTTCTTTTCACTGCTTGCTAGACAAGCCTGAGTAGGCTTAGCTGCCACGGACAGTTCAGCTGAAGCACATTCATCGCGAGTGAGCTTCACCAGCAACTTCTTCAGTCGAACCATGTCGGGGCCGTATGGAGACTGGTCCTGGGAGACAGGAGTGTTTGGAGGTTCTCCGCTTGTAAGTTCGAGCAGCGCCGTCTCAAGAAACACACCAAAGAGATGCTGCAGATCCTCCACGATCGTCTGAGACGTAGCTGTCCCCTCCATTGGGCTATCTGGAGGCGTCAAGCCTTGGTGACAGGGAGAAGAAATCTCGTTCAATGCCATGTTGTGCAGTTAAATAACTGGAAAATTAGGTGTGTTATGGGAAGTTGGTATGAATGTGCAAGAGATTGGAATGCCTATGAAGAACAGAAAGGTCGACCGGAGCGAACGGTTACCGAACCACCTAAACGCTTGTTCGTAACTTTATTTCAATCGCCGACAGCTCTTCCTTCTCGGCAAAAGATCATCCGAGACCCCGCCTGTCCCCCGCCCACAGTATCTACAAGTTTATCAGAACACCCAAGATCTGCAGATAATAGATGATAGGTTCTATTCGGGACTGTTGCGTGAGAGCCCCTTGCGTCGGGCCCACGATATCCCGTGCTGGACATCGCACACAAATATCGCCTGGCCTTCCCCTCCCTCGAAAAGAACATCGCCGTTTCGAGGGAGAGCCGGGCTCTCTCCGCGACGGTTTCTTCGCGCCCACCGCGGAACCCCCTCATGTATATTCCACGTATGCTCCCGCATAGCTATTTTTCCTCCTAGAATATACGGAGTGCCACGGGCCCGCCTGCAGCCCTCACGGCGCTGTAGCCCTCCGTCAACGAGGCCTACATCGCCAGTGTTCAGACCGCAGGTGCCCCGTGCGGGCCAAAATATCTCATCCGTCTCCATTTGTGCCAGTGTAGCAATGGTTAGAATAGATGGTTCTTTGAGACGTTCGTAGATAGCTCAAGGCGGTAAGAAATGCGGTGTTAGTAAGATTCACAGAACTAGTTCTCGAAGCTACCGCTCTAGTTGGGACTTTAGCTATTACTGGAGATGATACTCGGATCACAGGTGTGGCTTTTGAGGCGCCCGAATAGCCAAAAGACTGAAAGGGTCTAGTGGTTGGTGTCCCGTGAAGTTTACAGGCGTGGTTCAAACTCGGGAGAGGAAGGCTTTTATGGGAGAAAGCATGGCTAACTGCATCAGTGCTAGCAGCAGAGAGGGCCATTGTTTCACGAATATATCTTATAATTCCCGAACAATAGACCTAACAACAAGTAATTGTCTCTGTAGGATTTTCATCTTCTTATACGTCTCATTCCATGTTCGAACAACAAGGTACTTTATAGAGGTCTTTTCTGGAGGTGTTTAGATGTTCAGAATTAGCTGGGGGTACTTAGTGGTAAGCCTAATTTAAAGGCCCGCCATCAACTTTGTCAAGGCTGGAGAACGTTCACTTGGATCGTCCGTAATGCTGGGCAAAAGGCGCTGCAGCGCTGCAATTCAATGAATCTGACCACCCTCAAACAACACAGTGAGGGATTATTATCTGCTTTTTGCCTTGCTAGTGAGGAAAAGTTTAGGTTAGAGGTCTAAATGATCCTTCATTCCCCGCAGGGCAGATTTTAAGCACAGCAATAGCCGTACATTCTGTATGTTAGGTTGGTGGAGGGGAGTCAACAAGTTCCTAGGAACCGTGCTAGTAAACTGGAACGGAGTGGGGGATCCAGTAGTAGGCCGAGCAACTATAACCGTGTACATGTATATCTAACTGGATACGTTTAGCGTTATTCAAGATAGCGCGTAATAGCACTGCCTCCGATATCTCCGCACAGCTCTTCTAACACCATAGTTTCGTTTCGCCTATATGCTCCCTGTTCATGCCTAGGTGGAGATCATTTCCATCCGGACATTACAGAGAACGGGCTTGAATGCGAACATACGAGATACGCAGGCAGCAGAGACGACTTTGAGCTTAAGAATCAACAAACGGAAGGAGGACTTCCACTAAAAAGCTCCACAATTGCTGCCGTGATTGAGCAATACATCGGCAAATGAGAAATGTATGGATAGCTCAGAATGGTGCGCTAGTGAAGAGAGGGCTACCAACGAAATGTATCGGGAAAAATGCGCCACCAATAGCGTCCAAACCATCCTCCAGGCTTGGATTGTGAAGATTCTTGGCGCTCGACCTGCGAACATCTAGTTGAGTACTCCGTGGCTTGTCCCCTTCGAACGGGTGGATAGGTCTGTGTGCAGCTGGCTTAGTCCCACCGAGAAATGGAACTACTGGGCGCCAAAAATGTACCACATGTGGGGGAGGCACCAATGGGACGAAAATCTTGAAAATACTGCTTTAACATCCACACTGCAACCATATAGTAGCTCTCCGGGGCCGCCTTCTAGTCCTTCCAGGGCCTTGGCATTGGTCGGTAAACGAACTTGTTGACGGCTTCGACAAACTCCTCATGTAATTTGTCCAGCGGAGCTTGCTTCTCTGGCCACTTCCACCTGTATGTAGCTGCATCAAGTGATTGGGATTCTTCATATCTCCTGAGGTCATTGATCGTCTCTTTGGTTAACTTGAAAGCCACCTCACTCTGTGAGACCTTGTCAACATGCATGACGTATGCCTCGATGTGGATCGTCCCAAGCGTGTTCTCCAACATCACCGAGCACCATGCCCAGATTGCACTCTCTGATGACAGTTTCTCAGTTAGGTAACTGGCTCGCTGTGTGAGATTATTCAAAAATAGCCTAGCCAGATTCACTCGCTTAAAAGTCTGTACCAACCAGTGCACATTGTCTTCCAGCACCACTGTGGGCGGCGCTCATGGCTTAAAGGCGGCGGCAGACGAGGGTAATATGGCAGTCGGCTGCAGTTTTTATCTGAAGTCAAATGGGTATTCTGCGTTAAATAAATGCCGGGATTTAAGTAACATAGACTGATATGCAACGCACGATGGACACCTCGTTTTGGGAAGGAACTGATTGGGGTGACGGCCAATTTCTTGCCAGCAATGAGTTTTCTCGAATATTCTTGTATGAAGTTCTACACGCTTCTATTTAACCACTATTAGAATGCTCGACGCTAGAACGTTCTAACTACTATAAGACTCCCATTGGCGTGTTAATCCCTAACATACAAGACCAAAACCCTTCCCATAGCAGCCCTTCTTTCTACAATCAGCGTTGCCCAGCCACGAGCTGTACTCCCTATAGGGCGTTTAGATAGGCTCAGTGTACGAGAACGAGGGTTCTCCTACGAGCGTAGCACAGAGTAGTCTTAATGACCTAGAAAAACTCCTTTCTAGTCCCAGTCTTACGCTTGTACTGTTCTTTGAATATTCTACTCTCTGAACAGCCGGCCATCCCGAGCCCCAGCATTACCGTATGTAATTTTCTCGCATCCTTCCATACTCAGCGCAGCCAAGCATAGTCTGAGGAGGGGATTACCCTGACCCAATCTCTCTTCAAGCCTGGCAATCTCCCGGTCTAGCTCGTGCTCTAGGCTCCTTAGGCACCTTAGAGTCTCGTCGAAGCCGCCAGACGCCTCAATGCACTTTATCAGATGCTCCTTGACCTCCCGGGACAGTGGTTTAGCCTCAGCGGCCGCGCTGGTTGGGCGCTGTCTGAAGACGGCAAGGATGTGGCCGCACCGCTCGGGATGCCTCTCAAAGCCGCAAACGACGGGGAAGGAGAACTTGCCCTCGTCCAGGTCCTCGGCGAAGCCCTTCTGGGCAGCGTAGGCACTGAGGTTCAGGTAGTCGTCGCGGATCTGGAAGAAGCGTCCCAGCAGCTGCATCAGCCTCTCTAGGTCCTCGACGACCGCGCCGCCCCAGCATGGGCTCTCAGCCACCATCAGTCGCACCAGCATGACGAACATGCCGCCCGTCTTGTGATCCACCATCTTCACATATTCGCGCTTGCCTGGGCACTGTAGGTTGTGCTTCCAGTACAGGTCCCAGCTTTGGCCCAAGAAGAGTGTCTCGAGACCCTCTAGCAGCGCCGCCAGTGCCGCCGGACTGAGCGCCGAGCGCACCACCGCCGTCGCTTTCACAAACATGAAGGTCGCGCTGTTGATAGACTGCGCCGCCCCGAAGACGACATGGGTGGCGGGAAGTCCGCGCCGCAGAGGCGAGTTGTCCTCGATGTCGTCCAGGATCAGCGACGCGTTGTGCAACATATCGATGGCCGAGATAATGTGTGCTAAGGCTCCCGGAGGCACCTTTAACCAGGCATTCAGGGCTTCGATGAGCTGGGTCCTCGTGCCCTTGGAGGGCATGCTAGAGACGTGTGTAACAGGCGCAGCCACGGCCAAGTCGTTGAGTTCTTCCTTCGGATACTGACAGACAGGATGCGTCTCATTGGGGGCACCGTTGTTAAGACACTTCGGAGTTTTCAATATCGTGTCGTTGTTATCAGTACTCGGCTCGTCGCTCTTGGTGCCATTAGACGTGCCATTGGTAAGACGCTTCGGCGTTTCCAATGGCGTGCCGTTGTTATTAGTACTTGGCTCGTCGCTCTTGGTGCCATTGGGAGTGCCATTGGGGGTGCCATTGGTCATCCATGCATTTTGCCTGGTACAAGCCGAGAGCCAATAGTGATTACCGGAGATCGAAAGACCGATATACTCGATCCAACGTTTCAAATCCAAGGTCATGTCTGGGTGTGAACTGAGCAGATCGTCGCGGAGCCGGCAATACTTAGCCTCAGCTTCCAAGATCATCCTTTTGACTTCTGCCTTGGCATCTGTACTCGAAAGTCCCTTGGTCCGGGACACCATCTCGACAAGGTTGACGATGCGTTTCGCCTTTCCGGTCTCAAGCTCCCAGACTTCGCGTTCATAGCTGAAGTAGTCATTCGCCCAACAAAGAGCTTCCTCGGCGGCGGCAATTATGGGTTGTACTAAAGCATGTTGTTCCTCCGAGAGGTGAAGGTTTGTGGCGAACAGAACCATTGGCCAGAAAACACTGCCATAGTACACGGGTTAGTTGTACTGTCAAAATGCTAACAGAACGGCGCAGAGTTTGCCTACCTCATACCGCCATTTGACATTCGTACACGCCAATAGTCTTCCAGTGTCTGTGGCACTTCGCTGGTGGCGTTCTCGGCAATATCCAGCCAGAGAACACGAAAAGCATCAAGCATGTCCGTGCCAAGCTTGCGATCTGTTTTGATACACTCAAGAACACACTCGGATAAGAGCATCTTGAATTTCAATTGCGGTGACTCTGGGTCCCAATTGCGGTTGTCCTGAGGGTCCAAAGCAGGCCTCAGACATTCATGCGCCGTCATGGCATCTTGGACGCTGAGCTCCTCATTCACATCTATGCAACCAGCCAAGTCAGCCACATGCCTACCAGCTGATATGCATGACCCCATTCAGTGAACTCACCGTCGTGAATCAGACCAAGGTCCAGTAGATAAGAAACAGTACCAAGCCTTTCGGGGATGGCCTCAGGGTAGAGGAACGAATTCCAATTCCCCACCGGGGAAACGCAGAAGTGGGTTCTCTTCTCTCTGCCGTCACGAACGTGCTTGGCCCAGTCTGCAGTGAACTTGACAGTTGCCCCGTCGGCAATGTCATTACGGGGATGAATGCGGATAGGTAAGGACGTGAAGCAGCCTGTTCGCTGCGCCTCCTCTGTTGGAATGAGCCTCGACAAATAAGTCAGTTCATCCATAATGGCTGGGAAGGTCAGGTGTTGAAAGTGCCCTTGGATTAGACAAATCCAATGATACACGACAACAAGAAACGTGTGGTGGAGAATGCGTTTTTCCCTTTATCGCCTACTATATATAGGAATTGTGGAATGTTACATAGACCACCAGTCCAGTTATTTTGGCAGGCATATTAATATATACATATGGTCAATACCTCTCTCCTTTTCTCAACAATAAAACTTGGTACTTTATCGAAAGTTTATCGAAAATACTACGATGACATGCCGAGATAACATGCCGAGGTAAAATAGAAATCGAAATAAAGTAAAAAAGAAACATTGAACCTTATCCTAAATGGGTTTAGTAGGAAAGATGCGGGGTAAAGTCTATCATTGCTTGACCCGGGCCCGCCGTAGATAGAGACCCTCTTGGTCAAGCAATGACTCACTTCACTCCCTATCTTTGACCATCTGATATGGACCGCCCTGTGAGAATCGACGTAACTGAGGAGCCTAGGTTCAATACACGCCCTCAGAGACTCACACCGCGTGAAGAAGCCGCCTTCGACAAGTGGTTTACAGAAGCGCTGGCAAAAAACTGGATCAGCAACTCGAGCTCTCGGCATTCCAGTGGGTTACTCTTAGTCCGTAAAAAGAACGGTTATGACCGAGGTTAATCTCCCTGAGACAATAGTCTAGACTGAAGTGGGTTTACACTAACAGCAAGTAACAGGCGTTCTGAGCAGAAGGTTTTGCTTGTCGTTCAATGGTTACCATAAAGCTTGATGCCTCTTAAAGGCATAGTGTAATCAGAAACTTAAGTTACGACGTTAAACGCCATTTGAGCTGTGAGCCTATAAGTTGGATTTTGTAACCCCGCTCGATTTCTTAGCGTAAACTATAACTATATCTAAAGGTATTCTGTAAGCGAGTTGTTCACCCCCAAAACACCGTACTAAATGGGATAAATTACAACCTGGTATCTCAACAATGGTGGTCTATAGGGACTTTGCCTTCTAGCACAATGCTTTTTGGTGATATCTAGGCACTTCAGGGAATTTAGAGAATGTTTGTAACATAGTGGATAAGATATATATGATGCTAGCTCATAGTAGCGTAATTTTCGATACCGTAACAATGTAGGTTTTAGATTCCGTCAAAATTGATATATAGTGCTGAAAAGCCTTATCAACGGCAAATAATAAAATAAAATAAAAAATGGTTGTTGAGATATCAGTGTAGAATATATCGTATTTCGTATGGTGTTTTGGGGTACACCACTCGCTTACAGAATACGTTATACGTTTCTGTCCGGTGTATTTCAACATCCTGCAAAAAGTATAACAATTTATCTGCTCATGGCTAAATGGCCAACTCTTGAGCCATGGTTTATTCTAGTCCACGGGGAGTCAAATAAACTTTCAACGGGCCCTTCTCCCGCATGAGGAAGATTTTCTGGTCAATCCAACTTCTGCTCTCATCCGAAATTCGGAGGTCAAAGTTCCATAGCAGTCGAGCAAATACAGTGCGTATCACTGCAGTAGCCAAACTTTGGGTAGGGTCAGCAAGTAAGAACAAGGTCTAATACAATTCAATCAGTGTGGCAAAGCTAATACGTACGCTCTGCCGAAACAGGCTCTGGGCCCGACTAGGAACGGCTGCAAGGCATGAAGATTGTCGCTCGCGTACTGGGGATCGCCCAGGAAGCGCTCGGGGTGGAAATTGAACGGATCCCGAAAGAGGCTGTCTTGGTGGTATAGCGCCCATTGGTTGATAGTAACGGTAGTCTAGAACATTTGTCAATCAAGGAGTTCCATCGAATACGCTTTGCGCTATGGCTGCGGATTCTCATTACATCTTCAGGCACATAGTGTCCACAAATCAGCGCTCCTTCCCGTGGAGTCACCCTCGGCATTCCAACCGAGATAGGGGGGTAGAGCCGTAGTGTCTCGTTCATGCAAGCCTGCAGAAAGTTCAGGCGGCAAACAGACGAAAAGGTAATTTCGCATTCGTCTTTAAAAGTGGATCGGACCTCCAGGGTTGCTTTTTCCAGAGCATTCGCATTCGTCAAGAGGTAGTATGTTAATCCGGAGAGCGCCGTCGCCGTGGTCTCTGCCCCAGCACGGACTAGGATGATAGCGTTGGCCTGGAGTTCCTCCATCGATAGTCCCTGTAGGAAATGTATTAGCTGATTACGACGGCATAATTATCTAGATACACTCACCAAGTCGTCCTTTCGCTTAATTAGGTTCCCGATTAGATCGGAGCGCTCCTCCTTGCTGTCATCCATAAGCTTCAGCAATTTCGTCCTCGGCAATTCAGTGTGTTCCCTGGACCGCTTCCGAGCCGACTTCCCCACCAAGAAGAACAGAAGCTTTTTCAGTCTAGGAAAGTAGTTCAGCAGCCGTAGGAACCTTCCGGCACGGCTCAGCTGGAAGGTATCCCTAACCCAAGGATGATAGTCGGACATCTCAAGGCAGCCGAAAGCCTCACCTAACGCTAGGTCGCTATGGATGTCAAAGGTAGTGAAATCGTACCATGAAACTATATCCACGGGTGTCGCACCTCCGCCGCACCTCTCGTGCAGTCGCCGTACCAGCAAGTCGACACAAGACATAATGGTGGGCTCCTGGTCCCGCCGGCTCCTCTCGCTGAAACCAGGCTGGAGCGCGCGCCGGACGATATTGCCTTTCTGGAGGTCAACAGAGGCAAGGTGTTTCTCGGGGACAGAATAAAAGCGAGTATCTCTTCCCAAGTTCTGCTTTTGGCTGTAGATGTCGTCCCAGGCCGCGGCGTTGGCAAAGGATAGCTCGTGAGGCGCCACCCTCACCACCTCGCCATAGCGCCTGTGCAGGTCCAGGATATCGTCCGAAAGGGTGCCGGCCATCTCCTTGCACAGGTAGGGGAATACCGAGGCCCGCATATGGATCGGACCGGGGAAGTTGCGGAGCGGATGGACGCACAGGTTGTAAACAACTCTGGTCACCGCAAACAGCACCATCTAACTTGCTTGATCAGCGGGGGTCTCATCGAAAAAAAAAAAAAAAAACAAAAGGCAAAAAAACATCACGGCTGTCAGCATAGTATGGAGAGGATATCGTACAATGCCAAAGAACGCCGCAAAGGCACTGCCTAGGCTGGAGATGATTATGGCCATATGTCACGGCGGGGAGGTAGGTATGTAGACGGTAATATAATATGTGATCAACACACAGTAAGCTAAGTACAGACAGAGCAGTAGGGCAGGCTCAACAACAGGACGTAGCTCAAAGAGCTACAAATTAGGGGCAGACAAGATCCTGATGATATCTTCATATAAGGACAGTTAATCGACGTCTGGAAGCCAGCATAGCTCCCTGACATAAGAGGTGCTTTTATTCTTCTTTTATGTGGGGTTACAGTCTGCCTATACCCTATGGTATTGGTGGAATGCTTACAAGCCTAATCTAAGATATCCTATCCTAGCACGGCATATGTCATTTAAAGAAGGCAAGCGAAAGCGAGATAGGCCCCCTGAAAGTGTGAATACTTACTGGTATATGGGGATCCACCCGGGTGGACTAGTTAGAGTTCTCGAATTTCCGAGCCGTGTGTGCGGGGAAGATGGAGAAATAAGGTTTTGACTCAAGCCACCACCCAAACTTCTGTGATTAGTTAAGACTTCTTAATCTAGCGATAAGCGAAAGACAAATTCAAACCTCGGGATTCGCCCCCTTATCCCCACTTCTTATTTGGTTTGCCACGTGGCGCGGTGGTGGCGGTGGTGGAGCGTTCACAGATAATCCAACCTGGCGGAATATCGGGGAACTTGAAGTTTATTGTTATCAAGGTTTAGCCACAGCCCTAACTGTAGCACCCAGGAACCCATGAGGTCTGTTACGTATCACTAAATGAAGCTCTGATTTAGGAACTTGGGCCGTTTAAGTTCATCCTGCTTACTTCGTACCATTCGATGCCTTATCTTTAGGCTAGTGACCATTGAAGACCACATGACTCCCACAGTTTGACCAATGAGAGCCACCATAGTAAGTTAAAACATTTTCCAAAAAAACCCCTCTGCACCCAATCCATGGATATCGAAAGCAACCACTGCCATTTGAGCCAATAGCGAAAATACCGCACACTCGCCTGATCTCTTTTCGATGTTCCTCTCCTTAATCTAGGAGACTTTACTGGCTGGACATTTCTCAAATTGGAGGGTTCTAACTTTCCAGTTGTTGCAGAATTGAGGCAGCATCGTGTCTACGCCGGGCTGCATCCACGATCCCACCGTCAGGCAAATGGAGATACGGCTGAGAACTCATGCGAGCATGGATGACGAAGTTCACTAGCGAGGGTGGCGGCATCGGGGCCGGATAAACTGGGTGGTTTGGTCTTTACAAAAGGCTTTACGCAGTCCGCCATACAAGAGATGTGCTAAGAGGGCTCATACTCTGCTGAACCATCGAAACTAACTTGGACAACACTTGTACATTTTCCTAGAATGATCACTCAACCCCTTTTCTTGCTTCAATGGCTACAGCCGGCAACCGTGGCGGGTGTCGTAAGTTGTCTTGCTACCCATGATTATGGAACTGGGCCCTTGATTAACAATACCTCACAGATTAGTGTACTAGCACTTGTGTATATATCGTACTGTTGCTTCCTTCACCCACTTGCCCGTATTCCTGGGCCAGTGCTTGCGAAGTTCTCACCCGTATGCTGCTGAACAACTCTCTTTTCCTTAAACACTTCAACTGACTGGTAAAGTTATGGATAATGGGCTCTCTCTACCGGGGAAGTTACAACTCAGATCTACAGAAATTACACGCCAGATACGGTGAGATATCAATAAACTCTAATTCTGTTGTTTCGTTAAGGCTGACGACTGGATGCTCAGGAACGGTTGTGCGTATAGCGCCAAATGAGCTCTCATTTTCCACCCTCGAAGCCCAGAATCAGATCTACTCAAAGCAGGAAGAAGGCGGCTTTTCGAAAAAAGCTACCTTCATAGACTTCCTCACTGGCCTTCTGTTTGCGGATCCCTCGCCCACACTGCTCACAGTTTCCGATCTTGATATGCATAAGAAGCTCCGTCGGACCGTGGAACAAGCCTTCACCCCTAGTAGTCTCGCTGAGCAAGAACAAATCCAGAAGTCACACGTTGACAAAGCCATCCATCAGCTTGAAGAACATGCAGATCACGGAGACGAAGTCGATCTTCGAGCCCAGTTGGAGACGATACTGTGGGGAATCCTCGCAGATGTGACGTTCGGTGAGCCCCTGACAATGGGGAAGAAATGTATGGCGCAAATCATGTTAGTTACCTCAAGATGGAATATACTGATGTATTCACTGTGCAGCGACGTGGGAATTTCTTAAGACCGTGGGAAAGGCGTCTATGCCCATGGTAGAATTCCTCCTTTGGTCAAGCACCTTCCCTGGAGTAGCTCTGGTTTTACACGTTATCTTCTGGATTCTGCCTTACCAGATTACTCCCTTCTCTAAGATTCTTCCTGCTGACAAGTTCAAAGAGTACGTCTGAGGTTTTGTATAACCCGTATACATAGTTCCTTGCTAATTCTTTTCTCCAGGTGCTTAGAACGACAGAATGCTAACACGCGCAAGACATTCATACAGGCCATGACGGCCACTGAAAAACACGGTTTCTCTCTCGATAGTGACGCTATGGTTTTCAATATCATAGTCCTATTGTAAGCATATTTCATCTCTTCCCGCTAGTGCACCGGAATTGATAGATAATAACTAACGCCTGTTCTGCGCGGCAGATTCACTGGCTACCAGTCATCGAGCATTGCGGTGGTGGCCCTGTTTTATAACATCCTTCGCAATCCGGGTATATACGATAAAGTGTGTGAAGAAGTCAGGGCGAGTTTCCACAACGAGTCTGACATCTCAAACGAACGCCTACTGCAGCTGCCCTTGCTCAATGGCTGCATTCGCGAGGCGTTGCGTCTCCTGCCCCCGGCCAACGGCAAAACCGCCCAGCGGACCGCCCCGGAGTGCACCATAGCCGAAACTTACGTTCCGAAGGGCACGATTGTATCCGCCGATATTTATAGTATCCACCGGTCATCCCGGTACTTTAGGGAGCCTGATTCGTTCCAGCCCGAGAGGTGGGTATCCCACGGCAAGGATACATTATTCGAAAGCGACAACCGCCGGGCCTATCGGCCGTTCTTGATAGGACCCAGGGCATGTGTTGGAAAGAACTCAGCCCTGCAGAGTTTGCGTCTTATTACGGCAAAGTTGCTCTGGAAGCTTGATTTCGAAATGGTAAACAAGGACTTTGTCTGGGAGAGAGATGCTGTCAGCAGCTTGATCTATACCGACTATCCCCTGATAGTTCGAACGAAGAGGGCTGGCTAGGCGGCGGGCAGCGACGGCACCTTCAGCGTTGCTCATATTGATGATCGTAACCTACTGCGCGAGAAGATTCGAAAACGGCTACGTCGCGTGTGCCCCATAATTTCCACTCTTTAGCAACCAATCAAATGAGGAGCGACTCGGGCCGGGAACGACATCACTCCAGCTAAGGATACATCGACCGCCCCCCCTTGCCCGCTCCAAAGGGGGCGTCGACATTACTAATCAACCCTTTTCCGCATACATCTGTGCGCGCTCTCAAAGGCTTCAAAGGCTTCAACCACCTCTTATTCAACCACAATTGCCTTTAAATAGCCTATAAAATCAATCACCTAAATGATACTGACCATTTTGGGCCTTTGGCTGAGTTCCAGCCAGCGGTCTTCGAGACCGCTTTGGAAAACCGCCAGTCCTCCCTCAACTTCCTTAAAATAGACCAGGACTCAAAAGTTGACCAAAAGTCAAGTGCAATTCTCCAGTCAGCGACAATTTAGATGAGAATATTTGACTGGGACATATCGACGAACCGTGCCTAGTGTAGGAGGGTGGGTCTATAGGACATTCAGCGGCACGAGACATGATGCTTCTAAGCAGGTCTCATGTCCCGGGTTATCAAAGCCTTCGTACTATACAAGTTTTCTTTCTGGCGGAGCGACCTCGATCGGCAGGGAGGCACGGATTAGACAAAGTTATTTAAGGGCATGGAGGTACACAGCTGCAGCTATACCACAGGATTATGCTATGTTGGCCAGCCACATTCAATTGCTTTAGAAGTTAAAACGGCCAATGTTCAGTCCTAATGTGCTTCAGCCGCAAAAAGGATAAGAAACCAAGTGAAGGTCTATTCATAGAGACTGTCTAAGGATAAGGATAACTTTTGAGGCCATACTAATCATGTGTTGCCTTTCCATGAAATTTCTAGTTTGTTTTGTTTGCATCCAAATAGTGTGGGGAGGTCTCTAAAGGCTCAGGCCATTTCCGGTTTTAATTCCAAAATTAGGGCAGTCTACCTCGCAACGACTGCCATAACCAGGATCTTCCCGAGGCACTCTCATATCTCAGAGGGATCACGGACAATGTTTTGCCTATTTGGGTCTAGTGCTACTCTTAGCGAGAGTGAGAGATACGCTAACCAATGGCAACCAGTTCTTCAGCTCATATAATGTCTGCGTGGATGAGCGCTGCTCATCGGGCGATGCAAGACAATGAAGGCGTCATTTGAAGTCCCGTTCTACGCAACTGACTTTCCTAGCCCTCTACCGACCGGTACCGAAATCAAGAATGAATGAACAATCAATCTTCCTTTGAATTACAACACGCACAACCTGATTTCGATTGGGAGCAATAACGGAATTGCCATGTGAATACCTCTCCGTGGGTCAGTGACCCTCCCGCAGCTGCTCCTCACCGAGCTACTACGGCACCGTAACATTTACTTGCCCAGGAATACCAGATTAGCTACGTTCATGATTGACATGAAAAGCCAAATCAAGACGGCGAGGATCGCTGTGTACCACGAGTTGGTCATCTTGACACGTTGGCGCTCGAGCTCGGCTCCCTCTCCAATTACCTGGTCCACCTCACTCTCGTCGTCCCTGCCCGCCATGCGCCAGCGCGCTCTGCCGGGGTGGACCGTCATATATTTATCGCGACAGGTAAAGTAGATGAGCGGTGCGGTAACAAACGGCAGTATGATACTCAGCGCCACTTGCGACCCATTAAGTGCTGTATTGAGCCCCGAGCGACCCACGGCTCCCGCGATGATGATGCTTGGTGTGATGCTGATGCTGCGGGTCACGAGGCGGCGCAGCCACGGCTTGATCTTCCAGTTCAGTGAACCCTCGCTAACCATCTGGCCGGCGATGGTGCAGACGATTCCTGCCGAGACTCCCGATAGCAGCAATGCCAGAGCGAATATGATACCTGCCGTGGGCGAGATAGACTTGGAGAGCAGATCGTGAATACCAAAGATGTCGGCGTCGAGGGCATCTGGGTTATTGTAAAGCGAGGCACCGGCAACGATGAGAATGGCGGAGCTAACAAAGAGGGCGAATGTGAAGAGCGAAATGGCCAGCTCGAGAATCGAGACCGTGAGCGAGTGCTTAATTGCGCCCAAGGACGGGACATAGTAGCCTTTGTCGATTCCATCATCTAGAACCGAATACCCCGATGTAAGCTGACGAGGCAAGAGCCTACTTCGCTCATCATATTCGCGTAGGCGGGGTTGAACAATGCCGGACCCTAGGTAAAGACTGTGAGGCATGACTGTTGCGCCGAGAATTCCGCAGGCCTGGTAAATACTGGGAAAGCATTAGAGCGAGTATGAAGGCGATGGAGGAATTTAGAACTCACGCTTCCGATTCGATAAGAGATTTTGACGGAAGATAACCCTTGAAGACTTCACCGGGGGTGGTGACACGGATCAGAGACATCTGGATGCAAAAGCAAAAGACTACGGCAAGAACCAAGGAAATGATAAACATTTCGAAGTACCGGAGGCCCTTCATCGAACCTTCTGGGCGGTAGAAGAGCAGGATTACCATTACGTCGATGATGGAAATGGCGCATCCCGCGACCAGCGGTACCTGGGGGATTAGAAGATTTAATGCAATAGCAAATCCAATCACCTGGCCAGTCAGCACTTGTCGACGCACAAGATACGTAACGGGGAGTGAATCAGGGGCCTACCTCTGCTATATCCGTGGCAATGATGGCAGCCTCGGCAAAGGCGTATAGGATGTAGTTGAGCCATCGCGGGAGAAACGCGCGACAGGCCTCGGCGAGGTTCAAGCCACTGACGGTGCCGAGCTTGATTGCCAGGCTCTGGAGAAAAATGGCAAATAGGTTGGAGAGGAGGACAATGAACAATAGGCGGAAGCGGTATGAGGCTCCTGCGGCGATGTCGGTCGAGTAATTGCCTGGATCAACTGGGTGCACGCATGTAAGTTAGGTGAAGGGGAAGGCTGCGGGATGACAGCGTCCTGAACATACTGTAGGCAACCGAAATCATAAAGCCTGGCCCGATGAAGGAGCCAAAGGTAGCGAGCATCTTCCTGACGCGCTGGGGCAGCGCGACGCGGGCGGCGTCAGCACCAGCCGAAGCTGGCGTACAACCCGGGGGGGGCGGTTGCAGGTATTTACAGACCGCCCTTAGGGGACTGGCCACGATCAATTGACCGCTGAGGCAGCCGGTAGCTGGCCTCGCCGTGACCGTCGTTTTCGGTAGGAGCATCGCTGGCTATTTGCCTCGGGACGTTCGAGGCTGCGTTTGGCAGTGTCTGCGAGTCGCTTTCTCGCACGGTCCGACTGTTGACGAGGCCGTTGAAGTCCTCGTTGGTGGTCAGGTCGTTGGAGTTTGGATTGGGGCTCTGGTTGTAGCCGTCACCCTGGAGGGGCTCGTCGGTGTGAGATGTCTTGTTTATTCCGTTGGCAACTCCTGAGGACGATGACTTGTTGGTCTATGATTGAACAGAAACCGGTGTCTTGCACGAATGTTGTTGGAGACACGCAGATAAGATTTGTGGCTGCAGCCGTACAGACCACAGGAAAACAGGCAGCCGAATGGAGAGGCACCAGGGGTGGGTGTGTCCTCTCACAGCGGCTGGGAGTGAAGCAAGTTGACTTTTTGTCCTCGGCCGTTCCGTCCAATGCCTGCTGGCCCACCACCAGGCACGCGGCGTACCTCGGGCAGCGAGATTGTTCGATTCGTTGTGTCACGGCTGATCTTTCCACGAGGTTCCAGCCCCAAAAAGGCTTCGAGAAAGCTTGTCAACTTTGCATTAGGAAAAGGCAAGGTCCGCTGCTGACGTTTCATCACCACTCTCGCTCTGCTTTGGAGGACTCTGACAAGGCTGACAAGTTCAAGCAGAGCCCGCGCCTAAGTACGTTATCACCTCCAAGTTTCTCCGTATTTATGATCCTGAGAAAGTGGAACGGAGGAGATATCTGGGATGAGCAGGAATACAACCATATAACAAAACGGAATGCCCCGAACCTCTGCTAACAACCGCATTCTTCCCCAAACAGCGCTCAAGCTTAGCGACGTCTCTAAGCGTGGCAAGAAGAAGACCAGACTGCTGTGGGCTTTTATTATCTTCCCGTATCTCTCATGCGCTAGACGATGAGAACGCCAAAAGATCGTGCTCATCTCCCGAGACAGATCATTCTCCTCACGACGGAGAATCTCAACCCTCGTGACCAATTATCACTCTTACGCGCCGTTCCTGACCTCGCCCAAGTCTTGACGTTCCGACACACTTCTGTTCAGGATGAAGAAGGAAATACAATCTTGCACCTTCTCGCGGTAGAAGCTGAGGACAGACTGAAAGAGCTGCTATTAGCAAAAAATAGTACTCAGGTGGATCCGAAGAACAAGAACGGTCAAACGCCACTGTCTCTCGCAGCTCTGTATGGACGTGAAGCGGTGGTGAAGCTGCTTCTGGAGCGAGACGATGTGAAGGCGGACTCGAAGAACAAGAATGGTCAGACACCACTCTCTCTCGCAGCTCTGTATGGGCGTGGAGCGGTGGTGAAGCTGCTTCTGGAGCGAGACGATGTGAAGGCGGACTCGAAGAACAAGAATGGTCAAACGCCACTTTTTCACGCAGCTGAGCGTGGACATAAGGAAGTGGCGAAGCTGCTACTGGAGCGAGACGATGTGGAGGCGGACTCGAAGGATAGGTACGGTCGGACACCGCTGTCGTGTGCTGCTTTGAATGGATATGAAGCGGTGGTGAAGCTGCTTCTGGAGCAAGATGATGTGGAGGCAGACTCGAAAGATAATGATGGCCGGACACCACTATCATTTTCGGCTGGGGGTGGACATGAAGCGGTGGTGAAGCTACTGGTTGAGGGAGATGATGTGGAGGCAGACTCGAAGGATAAGTACGGTCGGACACCACTGTCTTATGCGGCTGGGTCACTGCCTTTTGCAGCTGAGTATGGACTTGAAGCGGTGGTAAAGCTACTGGTTGAGCGAGATGATGTGGAGGTGGACTCGATGGACAATAATGGTCGGACA